ATAAACCGACGGAATTTTGTTTATTGATCAAAAATCTTTTGAACATTTGATGCATTAGATGAATTTTGAAAAGCTTCTAACTCGAAGATGTACACAGAGTATGTTCCAAAGATAAACCAATACCTTTAATGGCTCGATTACATACTTTAATCCTAATGATTTTCTGAGGAACAACTAAATACATTCGAGGAATCCATTAAATGAATTTTGCGAACCGCTGTTTCAAACCTCTGATTGTGAGATTGTTTCAGAAACATTCAATGTCGAGTGTATGCAATCCTTCTGGAGCTGTGAGTGCAATTGACTGATAAATAGTAACATGTCGAGAACAGTGCATGAGCTGAGGATGCTGATTTGAAAATTTCAGCTGCATAACACAGACACTAGTTAGTGCAACTCCACAAGAGATTCCGCGTTCTTACCCTAGTACACTTGTATTCAGAGAGGGATATGCGTATATCAGTCGCAAAGCCAAGCGAACTGACGAGACTGTTTGATCGCATGAATTTCTCAAATCGGCGAAATCGGATCAACTTTAGAAAGGTCAAAGTGAGAGCGTGTTCGGCAGGGTAAGCCTCGTAATGGAAGTAATGGTCAGCATAAGTGAAACAAATCATGGAGATAGCTGACATACTGAAAGATATGGCAACGCTAAGCAAAAAATTCCTAATTTGAACTTTTTCTGCAGATTTTGTCAAAGCGAACGAATCGGCAGCAAACTGCTGATGAGAAGACACCACGAAAAAACTACAGCGAGCAGTTCGTGCGATTGGTAGCACAGGCACGGCGAATTCTGCACAGAAACAGTTGGATTCTAAATAATGCGAATTATCGGAAGGCAATGCAGCGCATCTCGAGCAACGATGAGAAATCAGTGGATAATAAACAACAAAAAAAAGAGTGAACGAGAATTTTGATGTGCTGCTATCTCAGCATTCTATTTTGCAACCTTCAAAATTAGATTTAAAATTACTCATGTTTATGGGTTGAAAATTGAAACTGTTCTCCAGTTGACGGCCAAAAGATTTGCCGAAATTCGATGACACTTTACTTCTGAAAGTTGCTGTCTGTTTAAAATGAAGCATTCCAATCATACTATCCGCCCATATTGCGCTTTCAAATCAGTTACGTCTGATATTGCACTCATATTGAGTTATGCTCATTGTCAGTGATCAGAGGTTCGAATGCTGCGGTGATTTAAGAATATTGGATGATCCCACTTCTTCACCGATTTTTTTTTGCAACCACAAATTTCACATGAGTGTGGCTTTCTCATCATCTGCTCAATTTATTGGCATTGGAAGGAGATTAATTACTGACTCGGTCGTATGATTAGATCGGAAATTCCGTTTTGCAACCAGCG